GGGGTACGCAGGGCGAGGGAAAGCCACAGTCCTGCCTTCAGAAACTCCATTTGGGGAGACAGGATGCACACTGGGATTCCTGAGGGCAGGGACCCACACAGAGAAGAAAAACAGTGGGGCCAAGAGAAGCAGGCTCCTGAGGAGCTACGCTGAGGAGTCAGCCTGGAGGCAGTGAAGCTGGGGCAGGGAAGTGGGAGGAAGCAGAGAGAGTGGCTGAGCCCACGTAAGGGTAAACTGAGACCCACAGGATGGGGAAGAGGAGGGGAGGGGAGGGCCTGAGGCAGTGACTGCAGGGCAGGCCCCTCTCCTTGCCCCGGCACAGTAGGCCCTCCCGGTCTTAGTGGGGAGACGGGGGAGAGCCTGTCACTCAAAGGGCCCCAGGTGGAGGCTGAGCAGCCAGTCTCTCCCCACCTCCAGGCCCTCATGCGGGAGGCAGCTGGGAACCACCCACGCTTGTCTGGCGTCTCTCACGCCTCCACAGGGGTCCCAACACCAGCGCCAAGGCACACAGAGGAACTGGTGTTCTGGAGGGCCCAGCTGCCTCCCAGACTTCCCCAGCCTGGCTCCCCAGCCCCTCCAGTTGAGACCCCCTCTCCCTGCTTGCCTTAAGCAGCAGGGACTTAAGGGGAGACTGACCACCTGAGCACCTTGGTCTGAGCCCCGGGAAGCCACGACGGTCCCAGCTACTACCACAGAATCGGAAGGGGCTGTCCAGTCAGAAGACAAATGCAGTCGGCCCACCTTCAAAGCACCTCTGAAAACCAGACCCATCTTTGCCACCCTGGCCATCTCTCACCCTGGGCTGGTCCCTTGCTCCCACCCTGATCCCCAATCCTCAAATCTGTTCTTGACAGAATGCCTGAGTAAGCTCGACCGGGAGTCAGACCCTCTCACTCTGCTCGAAGCCTCAAGAGCTTCCCATCTCACCTGGAATAAAACCTGAAGTCCACGGCACGGGCCAAAGCACTGCCACCATCCCAACTTCTGCACACCGATCTCTACTTTTCCCCATTTTCTAATAATACACTTATTATACATTGTTTGCTGTCCACTTCTGTAACCCCACTGCCTGGAACAGCGCTAGACATAGAACTAGTGCTTGATAAATATGCGCAATGGTTGAGGGCACATGGATTCAAGTCCAAGCTTTCCACTCATCAGCTGACACACTGGAAAAATCATTCAATCCCTCTAAACCTCAGTTTCCTCATCTGTGAAGTGGGGGCGCTAAGGACCACCTCCTAGAGACGGAGAAAGGATGGAGCTCAGGATATAGGGAGTGTAGCTGAGGTTGGGCCCGTGCACCTCAGAACCCCCCAGGCTGGGGGTAGATGCTCCCCAGCCCTTGCAGGCAGAGGCTGGGAGGGAGGCAGGGGGTTCTCTTGCCGGGGGAGGAGAGGGTGTGGGAGGAGCACTTTCGATCGATGTTGGGAGGTGGGATTCGTTCTGGGAGGCGTCCCGGGGAGAGCGGGAGCGGCGGGCAGGCGCTGGGGTGCGCTCTGCTCTCCAAGGCGGAGGCGGGGTGGAGGGCGTGCCTGGCCCCGGAAGACCTCGGGGACCGGAGGAGTGGGCGCGGCGCCCTGCTCCAGGAGCCCCCCGCTCAGTTCCGGAGCCGAGGTGCGGAGGCAGCGGGGCAATTAGCGCACCACCAGGATCCGGATTCGACGTGCGGCTCCGCGCCCAGGTAGGGGCGGGGGATGG